AATCCTGAATAAGGGAATGTGGATTAAGACATGGCTGAGTGGCAGTTTCTAAATGATACACGTTCATATGAATGAAATGCATACAAAGACCAGACTTACAGGGTCGGCCCCTGTAACAGCTTAGCTTCTAAACTTCAAGTGTCTCCTCAAAATAAATCCCATCTAATTTTAATCAGTCTTTCCCTGAAATCCAAACCTGTAGATGGGACCCCATCTAAACTCACTGGCACATAATCAGTCAAATACACAACTCAAATCCTGAGTCCTTAAGTCTTTAGGGTTAATCTCCAGAACGGTGTACAACTTCAGAGCGGTTGCATTGAGATCAAAGCCTATTCATGAGCTAAACACAAAAAAACGTTGACTTTTGGCCCTCTGCCACTGATGGATTGAGTCCTGGTCTCTTCTATTGTGAAGCAAGACTCCATTGGCTGAGAGCTGGATTGTGTGGCGACACTGTCTGGGGCTGAACTCAGCAGGATGTGACAGTGTAAGGTCATGTGGAATGGGTTACATAAATTGGGGGGGGGGGTCCCAATGTTTGACTTTGGCACAAGCAATGGTTACCAACCATGAAGATAAACACAATTTAGAAGATCACCTGACAACATAGTATGTTCAGTTACCCTTTACACATCCTATAAATTTAGACTTCAACCTAACCTAGATTTGTACTTCTAATGGCAATTATATTTAACAACTTTCTGTGTAAGCTAACAGGTCAGTGAGAATAGTATGAGCAAGTTTCTGTTAATGGTGACTTTCCCAACTTGTGGTCTGACATAGATTTTAAAGGGGTAGCCTGTGTTATCACAGTGATTATGGACACAACATTTCTGGCCACTGCTAAAATAGATCATGGAGTGAAAAGGACAGTGGGAATTCACCTAAACGTGTGTTTGCATGTTGTCACTAAAATGTGTGCACATGTTTATATTTATGGTCCTCCTTTTCGTCCTTTCCTCTACAAATGAACCATTCATTTCCTCCTCAAATGGTCCACACAGAACGGTTTTCTTTCCTGCCTAGTGTGTTAAAGGGATCATCGGATGCTCATTTTGCACAAGTTTATATGATTCTTTAGGGTCTTAATTAAAAGTCTATAACATACTTTGGTTAAAATACCATGTTAAAGAAGAGAGACCCAAAGGGTGTGACAGCATTCTTGAAGCAGCAAGAGCCACACAAACAAGATCCATAACAGTACACTGATTCATGCGGTTATATTAAGTTTGAGAGATCTGTTATCTGCTTTGTCAACCCTGATTTCTAGAAAAGAAAGTCATATTTTTCACATTCTTGTCTGACTACTTACATTGAGGCCATATCTATACAGGTAATGGCATTAATGACAATTTACTAAAAAATGAAGACAGCCTGTAACTTCAGCGTGTGAGGTGATGAAATGGCATAAAAATGACTGATGATTAGCATCAATGCCTCAAAGGAAACAAGTCAAAGCTTGATCAGATACATTACAGTTTGGTTACTACAGTGTACGCAGGAGGAAACAGTGAAATCTCTTAGCATTGCATAGTACTCTCTTGCTACTCCACATGTAACGGATGTAACGGCTGTCCCAAAAATGACCAGTGCACAGTGATTTGCAGGCATGCAGGACAAAATTAACCCTAAAGGTCTTTAGTCAACATTCCTGAACTCTGTCTGAATCCCATTACATCACAATGACATTAAAAATGCTTCCTTTTTACTCAGACATCTGTTATCTGTTCACACTAAAAACTATTCAAAATCAAGCCGACTATCCTAAACATGCTGGATGATCTATCTTTGAATATCACTACATCAGAGCACTCTTGCTGCGTAACGAACATGTGGCCTTGCAGGGTCAAATTTTAGAACCTGTAAATCACATATGAAGCTAAATCGGTTAGCCTATCCAGCCAATCTGGGACTATCTATCTATAGGGCCTTTCGCACCGCAGGAACCTTTTCATAGTACCAGAACTAATTGTGGAACTACCCACTTTTTGGCGTTTTCGCACCACCAGAACTGAGAGCGATTTTAGTACCGGACTGCCTTTTTCGAGAACCAAATTAGCTCCTACTCCGGAGCAGGGTCTAACCAGCACAACTGGTACTAATCGTGACGTAAGTAGACATTGATTGGCCAAACGCGTATGAAAATGCCCTCACCGCCATGATTTAAAATGGCGTGTAAACATACTGTAATCATTGTGTCAACTTATTTCGCAAGTATGGAGAACAGCGATAGATGGACGGACGCTGAAGTGCAGGCACTTGTAGCAAATGTAGCACTGCCAGTTGTCGTTGGAGATTCTTAGTCCTCCTTTCCGTTCTTTCAATCGCTTTACGTATACGTCGACTTTCCATGTCCATTATTGTGAAACCCACGAGACACAACAAAAACACAGCTCCGATCACAGCGTCCTCCATCCTCCTGTTGTTAATGTTGTTTTCTTTGTTTCCGTTGTTGAACGCCGCGCACAAATGACGTCGCTGTCGACCGGTTCCTAATACACACTGTCTGTTCGAATGCAACCCTTTAAATGGTACTGGGAAATAGTTCGCGCAAAATTGTCCCAGTACTTTAGTACTGTCCATTTAGTTCTGGAACTAAAGCGGTGCGAAAGGCCCTTATCTAGGACTATCCAGCCAAACATTAGCAGGATTTGGTATGGACCTGACTATAACCAAATGTCACAATCTGAGTGCTGAACTAACATGACGTTTTGTTTATTTAGTGGTGAGAATGATGGGAGCAGTGGTTTTCTGTTCATATCTAGCATAACAGACAGAAAGGAACAGAAGGGAGCAAGAAAGAGCGAGAAAGAGAATGCTGTGATCATGTTTTATACTCTGTATTGAACAGGTCTGATCAGGAGAAGCATCGCGAGCATTCCTCTACCTCAGCAATATAAAGAGCAGCCATGAGATCTGCCTTACTGTTATCACACAAACACACACATAGTTTTCAAAATTAGGACAACCATTGACTTCTATTGTGTTTGTGTGTGTGTTTATCTATATATATAGAGCAGCCATGAGATCTGCCTTACTGTTATCACACAAACACACACATAGTTTTCAAAATTAGGACAACCATTGACTTCTATTGTGTTTGTGTGTGTGTGTATATATATATATATATATATATATATATATATATATATATGAACACACACACACATACACTAATCTTCAAAGTTTGGAGTTTTAGTTTAAACAGTTGATAATCACAATAAATGTTTCTTGAGCACCAAATCAGCATATTAGAATGATTTGATGATCTTCACACACACACACACACACACACACACACACATCAGACAAATCTGCCCACTAGCAAAATACAGCCTCACATTTACAAAGAGATGCCTACACATTAAATATCATAGACAAAGTGTTTGTTATTACTATTGAGACCCCCTAGTCATAAAGAGCCCTGCAGCTGCCTTTCTCATGAAACCCCTGAAGAACAGTGATGAAATTCTTCAGTTAAGAGTCTTAGAAGCATGCGGCGTTACTCGAAAGGGTTAAAGTTTAACACATCAGAGCAGGCCTCTACCTGACAACAGATCCGGACAAACCTCAGACCTCTCTGAAACATCTGAGTAAACCTGCTCTTCAAACACGACTTCTAGATAACCCAGTGACCCTTGGACAAATGTCTCCACAACAAGGTGGGTCAAATTAAAGATCGCCTCACTTCCAAGTTGTCCTGAGACACAAAAAAAGGACACAATAAATGGGCCTAATTTAAGCCTCCAACATCTTGACAAGCAGTGGTGGGTTTAAATGAATGAGCGGGAGGCTCTTTTGCTTTTAAACGCATTTGTTTCCAGTTACCTCTACAGCTATTGTAAGCTACAGATGACTGAGCCAGAGCTGCAGTGTTTCCTGAAAAACTGAACCATATGCAGCTTGGCCGGTTTGAGGGACTGGATGTTTAGATGGATGTTTGACTTTGTAAATTGTACCCAGCTCACTCAATTACAAGGACAACGCGATTGCTCACAGGACAAGCCCATCAGTGCTCTTGGAGACGATACACTCCAGGTCAGAGGAAGTTCCTCGTAAAGGGTAAGAACTACGAATGTTTGTGGTTCAATGAGCAGATGTAGCACAGCGCAACCTGCTCGGAGCGTAACTGTGGTTTGGACTGATGAATGAGCATATGAGTATACTAATAACAATGTACTTCTACTCCAAACACTTCATTTTGCCCCTCTTTCGCCTCCCATTCTTTCCTTCTGGGCTCATTTTCAATATCAACCCGGCAAACCCAAACACAAAAGATGAAGCTAAATTGAATCCACACATGTCCGTGTTTTCAAACCCGAGGAAGAGGAAGAAAATATGGTTTCAGATGAAACAAATCGCCTTCATTCTTCACCTTCAAGGCAGCAGTCACCTTTAAGAGAACGAAAGGCCAAGAGTGTTGTACACACATACACACTTTCCTTCCTCTCTGCATGGTTGACCTCTTTATAGGCTCACTGAGATGTAAAGGAGACAAGTGTAATGGAGAGAACAGCTGGCGTGACAGGCCTGAGCACACACACATTTGGAAGACCCCAATAGTCATGAAGGGAGGTCACACACAGACACAGTCAAACCGGCTGTATGAACCCTACAGAAAAACAGCAGCACGCAGTCAGCTCTCAGCAGAGCGTATTCATGCTGAATCCACAGTTTCACTCTCCTTGGCTGCTTTACCTGCGTCAAGGTCAGTACAGACCACCAACACACACTCTTAACCATTTATTCATTAAAAACACACAGTGACAAAAGGTCCTGTTCACGTATAACATGGATAACAAGCACACTACATCACCACAAATATGTTCCCCCATAGCTAAAGTGTATTCTCACACTTTTGTTTAAGTCAATCAGCAGCACAGTAAAACTCAGTAAAAACAGTAACAGTACCCCCCTGTCTCCCACCCCTCCCTCATCTCAACCCCCGTAAGGTAAAGCCATTAGCACCTCAGAACTCCAGAGTTGTCTGTACTCACCATGCTGTAGGCTGATTGTTCTTCCTTTCATTAGATTCATTTTCCAGTGAGTCCGGCGGCCTCCCGTGCCGTGGTTGAGTGTGGGTGTGCGTGCATGTGTGCTGCTGAGTGGGCAAGTTTGTGTGTGTGTTGCTCACTAACCCTTCCAAACTGCAGGTCTCCGACACACTGACACACTCCCCAACACACTGCAGCAGCTCATGAGTTAGAGACCGCCCACTCACCCTCTGCCCCTCCCCTCTCACATTGCCTGCCTGTCTGTCACTCAGAAAAATCTGTCCACACCCACAGCTCAAAGACCCTCCCAATCACACTCTACATAAGCTGCTGGAGCAAAACAGACACAAGGGAAAAATAGTGTCAACACAATATGCAAAACTGTTTGCTTACCAACTTTCTTCGAAATAGCTTCTTTAATGTTTCACAGATGAAACAAAAGCCCTATTCGGACGGGACTAGTTTTCTAGGGGGACATTAGAGAAATTTTTATACTTTTGCAACCTCTTTAACAATTCCAGAGCAAATTACCTACCATTATTCAGCAAACTCTGTGGTCCTGTCTGTGATTGCGGATATTGTATTATCCCAACGCTTCTCCTCTTGTGTTTTTTGGCCTACCTGAGCTACCATTTGCTGCATCTTTCACTATGGATTGTATCCGACGAAAAAATTAAATAGTAAAATTAATAAGGAGAGCCAAATCGCAGAAACGGCTAAGACTGGCCATTTTAATATCAGCGTCAGGTAAGATACTTGTCTAGATTTCTCTGCTCACTTACATGGGTTTATTATAAGCAGCCACTTCTATAAACTCATCTGAAATTTATTTAAATAATGTTTTTATAATAAATTACAATTATATTAATACATATTTCATTAGACATATGCGCCGTGTGTGATGCACGCAACTACATCATGTCTACAAACCACCACAGACATGTGCTGAGAGACGAAAGGAAAGGGTGGTCAATTCAAACTACACGTAAACAAAAACAAAATCTTGCATTGTAACAAGATTTCCAAAAATTATGACATTTAAAAAAAATTTAATAAAAAAATGAATGATGTCTTGGCAACTAATGGAAATAAGTTCAAGTACTAAAATGACTAAAACTGAAATAAAAATAAATTAAAGCTAAATAGACATAAAAATGACATCTAATAAAGCGAATTCAAAATGTTAAAATATTAAAATAATGCATCCAACTGAACTCACTGACTCTCTTTAAGTAACCTTAACTGACTTTATGTGATTAATGTTATTAATGGGAACAGCACTTTTAAATTAAATGTTTACCAAAATACATCATTCAGTCAAATTTAATTTATTGCACAGAACTCTTGAGGAAACACAGTTGTAAACACTGTAATCTGGCTTTTCAGCGAGAAAGCTAACCCAGAGACTGGCTCCCTGCTGACAGAGTGAATGGACACAGAGCTCTAGTGGGAGGAGAAATGCTGTCCAAGATGAGTGATTGACACTTGGTCTGCTCACCACTGTCTAAAAGCTGAGAAGGGATCAACAAGGAGAAAGAGAGACCACAAGGGGTAAAGTGAACATGGGGCACAAGGTTTCAGTGTCTCAGTCAAATGCACAGCTGGTCTAAGGGGAATTAAGGCACCTCTAACTTCATTTAAATCTTAATACACAGTTTTAGTTGAATAATGAATTAATTATTTGTACCTCAGAATGTTTTCTTCTTTCTTTAAAAGTCTGGATGCCTCTTTCTTGCCCATCTGCAGTTGTTTTTTTCTTCCACCATTATATTTTTATATCAAATAAAGATCCAACATTGATGACAGAATTGTCATTTTTGAGTGTCTATAAACATGTCTATAATAATGTTGCGGCAGCCCTCGTGTGAAGCTCTCCTTGTTTGAAGACCGAAGAGTGTAAAGACCATTGACTCTACCGTTCGACTCCACCGAGCAGGGACACCGGCAAGACACATAAGTATCGCTTCTGAATCATTCTCTTTCCTACTACTTGTTCCCCTTCTGTTTTCAGTTTTTATAACCAATTCTTACTATGTGTTTCCAGATCCCTACTATGACTACCAATCGCAAACCATGCATCACACACTGTAGGCAGCACAATCCTAACAACTTGCGCACTTTGCCTATGTCTACTAATACACTACTTTCTTTTTCTATTGTTCTCTGGAATTGCCAGTCTGTTGTAAACAAAGCAGATTTTATTACTTATATTACAAGTCATTCAAGATTAAACCTCATGGCCCTGACAGAGACGTGGATCAAACCAGAGGACAATGCTACACCTGCAGCACTCTCAAACTGGTCTGCTTATCTCTAATGATTGGAAATTTAATCCTTTACCATCTCTGAGTATCAACAGCTCCTCTGAATCACATTCATCCACTATTACCCACCCTCTTAAAATCCAACTCCTTGTTCAAGCTCTTGTTCTGTCCAGGCTGGACTATTGCAATGCTCTCTTGGCAGGTCTTCCAGCCACTTCTATCAAACCTCTACAATTAATCCAAAATGCCGCTGCAAGATTAATCTTTAATGAGCCGAAAAGAACACGTCACACCTCTGTTCATCAATTTGCACTGGCTACCAGCAGCTGCTCGCATTAAATTCAAGGCATTAATGTTTGCCTACAAAACCACCACTGGCTCTGCACCCATTTACCT